GTTTCAAATTCTATAAAAAAGTGAAGAAGGTGGTAAAAATGCGAGAATCACTGAATGATTTTGTTCGTGAAGAGAAGTGGATGAAGTGCTTGGAAAAGGCGGATCAACTTCTCAAATTTGAGACTAAAGTTGAGAATATACAGCTTGATGTATTTCGGTATACATGCAAATGCAATTTACAAGTTGGCACTTCTTCATCGTTGCGTTCATTTTATTTGGGTAGATTTCTTTTCTAGTGCTGTGCCGTTTTGTGGTGTCCGTTCTAATAACTGGTAAATGGGAATGGGAGTCTAATTTCTATTGACCATCGAACACTATCAGTCAGTTTCAATCATTTTCGGTGTTAATCTCACCGAGGGATATTTCTTCGTTTTGTTTGGATGATGTAGATTAAAAATAACAAATTGGATAAATATTATTAACATTGTACCTTAATGTGCTTGATCAACTATGTGTGAATGAATGAAGTTTAGGCAGGTCATATAGGTGAAGCAATAACGATGTGTACAGAATTTTTAAAAAGTAGTAATCCGAATGATTTGGACGTACTTTGCGATAGGGCGGAAGCATATCTGGTCAATGAGCAATACGACGAAGGTGTGTTATTATCGTAATTGTGGTTCATTTCTTTAGTGACTTTCATTCCAATCTAGTTTCATCTGGTGATATTGCTTATACGCAAGCAGATTTGTTGGTCGTAATTCAGTGCACTAAAATTTCGCGTTGACGATTATCTGAACTACCGTTGAAAAATTAACGAAAATGTTATAAATCAAATAAACCGAATGAATGCGGCATTCTGAATTGAAATTTGTATTATAACGAGTTGAATTTCAGCAATTGCTGATTTTCAAAAAGCGGTTAAAGAACATGACAGTTCAAGGAGAGCACAAGAAGGCTTAAATAAGGCACAGAAATTAAAGAAGCAATCTGGTAAAAAGGACTATTATAAGATACTTCGAGTCAAAAGGTTTGCCGATGTTCCATTATATTTCGTCTGTTAATGCTGTATCAATATGTCCAATTGTCTTTTTTCCATTCATCATTCACGTCCCATTCTTGTTTTTTTATTAATGTTGTGCACATCACTCAAGGAATGCAAACAAACGCGAAATAATGAAGGCGTATAGGAAACTGGCTCAACAGTGGCATCCAGATAACTTCTCAGATGAGAAAGAAAAGAAGAAAGCTGAAAAGATGTTCATTGATATTGCATCAGCAAAGGAGGTTCGGTCGTTCGTTTATGATTTAAAGTTGTACATACTAACGGTTGACGTTTGTTTTGAAAAAAAAAGAAATTAAAAGTCATTCAAACGTAATCGTTTACTCTTTAGCAAATCGTAAATTTAAAACGATTACCATCTCTTAATTCCCTACTTTAAATGATAAAATTGAGACGTTTATGATGAATTTGTTGAAGGTATTAACTGATGCTGAAAAGAGAGCGCAGTTTGATAAAGGTGAAGACCCGTTGGACCCAGAGCAGCAACAACACGGCGGTTTTCAGAATCCATTTTATGGTGGATTTCCGTTCGCTGGCGACGGTGGACCGTTCTCATTTAAGTTCCACTTTGGATAATGCTAACAGCATCGTCTTAGAGTTTAAAAATTGCCTTAATAATAATAAGGATGATAATAATACAAACAGTGACTGGTCAAGATTGTATTATTTGATTGCAATGTATTGTTATTGGTGTTCTAATTTATTTAATTCCTTATCGTTCATCACAAACCTCTCATTCATTAATTCGAATGTTTTGTTAACTTTTATGTCGTCAAAGGCTTTCATTGTTACCATTCGAACGCTTTCCTCCATCATCTGCGGGGAGTATTGTTCTTTGTGAGTTACAAGCTATCGTTTTTGGCTGTTTTATTCACTGACTGAAAAATTGATGATTTCTGAACTCTGAGAAATTGATCATTTTTATAGTATTAGATATGGTAGCAAATGAAAATGTATTGAGATTTAATGTCATTGGGCCACATGAGAGGTTGGCATTCCTACAGTCTATCCATTCTTGTTTATGTTTCTTTTAAGGCCACGATTGCTAGCATTCGCAGTTAACTGAATGCTTCTTTCGACATGTTCTCTATTGGTTTTTAGCGGGTAAATTTTGTTCACTTGTCGAATCATTGAGTGAATATTATTGTTTATACCAAATTGCTTGTCGATCAAACATCCTGCGCAATAAAATTAATCAGGATGTTTGAACGGTCGGTCGTAAGACTTTAAGTGCAGAAATTGTTATTTTTAAATTCAAGAACATAATTCAAATTAATAATGTTGATATGATACGATATGATGTGTGCTGATTTGCACTT